TTGAACCAAAGAGTTGGAGACCAACAAGTAATCCAGCTGCGCCCCTTGCAGAGTGGTGGGGCCTTTGGTGTCCATGATCTCAGCTCGAAACCGGCTTTGGATGACTGTGGCTGCTAAAGCCCCCGGGTCATTTTGCCAGTCCCCTCCCAGGATGAAGGGAGCCCTGATGTGGCTCAAATAGTTGAGGAGAGCTCCGAGGATGTCCGCATTCGAGGGAGATTGAAGCGTTTCACCAGTCTTGAGGTACAGCTGAATGATGAAGATCATGCTGTCCTGGCGCTGAAGGCCGATGGACATCCACCCATTGCCATCCAGGTTGTAGGAATGATCCAAGTGAGTGATGTGCCTGGGCCCATGAAGAGTGAGGAAGCCGCCAGTATTGCCGCCTCGTCCGGTGTTAGTGGCTGCAGTGCCATGTGTCTTCCAGCCTCGGGCAGTGAAGTATTGTTGCACTTCAGCCAATTTCTTGTCGCCCAGGTGAGTCTCCTGCAAGCAAAGCAGATGATCTCCTTTGGTCCAGATCCAGTCCTGTACTCGCCCACCGAAGGAGGTCACATTGGCGAAGACGAGGTGGAGGGTTTCGTAGTGGTGTTTTGCCCGTTTGGCTTGGCTGGGCTGCAAAGCTTCGACCGTGTCCGGGACTAGTTCTTGTTGATCATGAATCAACCATAGTTGCACCACTTCTTGTTGTTGCTGCTGAGAGATCTGCCCCAATGGTTGAGGATATTGATCATCATCCGCGAGCCAGTAAGCATTGTCCATGGCATGAATGGTGACATAGTGACCATTCTCGTGGCCTTGTCCCTGATGGAGAATCATGCTGACAATGCGATAGGTGGCTTGATGAACATGAATGCCATCGTCCGAAAAGGGGATGTTGATGCTGGTGCCAAACTCCAAAGCCCTGTTGTGTTTAGTCCACTGGCCCTGTAGGAGGGCTGATCTTTGGAGGTGCACGATGAGCCCATCGGGAGTGCCGTAGAGGTACTGTCCTCCGTCCTCATTGGCCCAAGAGTTGACCACCTCATCCAGCGTGAGTGGATGCTCTCCGTCCGGAAAAAGCAAGTTCAAGGGAATCTGTTCTCGGTCTTCCAAGCGCCCGTCAGCATGGACATGGAAAAACTTCCCTCCAAAGAAGGTGCTTTCCGAGAAACTCCACAAATGGCCAGCGAAGTCACCGATGTCGGCCTGGCGTCCGGCCTGGAAGTGCTGCAAAACATGATGCATCTGCGTAAGCTCATGCAGGAGAGAGGGTTGATCCGCCGAGAGAAATTGTCGAACTGCATCATGGGTGCGACCCCAGGCTATCGACTGATCTTCGGCATGAGCCCCTGCCCAACTCCAGCATCTGAAAACGGAGTTGCCGAAACACATGTTTTGCGGGTTTCGTAAGATACTCGTCAAAGCCTGTGCCACCACATAGACATTGGTAGCAAGATGAGGAACATCTCCTTGCACCGCTAAGATCTTGTGGAGAGTGTTCTCCATCCGGCGAAGGTCAACCAGGAATTGTTGTCCTTTGATGATTGTCCAGTGAGTCTCAAAATCGTGCCTCGAAGCATCAAGGTCTTTTTTGCAAAGATCGTAGAGGGCTTGCTGCCCTGGTGTCAAAAAGTTGGACGAAGGGTACGCGTGGCCTTCATCCATGATGTCAACCAAAAGTGCAACCAAGCGAGCCTGAGGGGTCCCGCGTTCTGCAGTGTCCCTGGGGACCTGCACAGAGGTAGAAGAGCTCGGTGCCCCTGGGCTACTTGGTTGCTGCCCCGTCTGAGCGGAGGAACGCAATCCTCCTCCTCTCAGTTTGAAAGGATGGGGATCTCGCCAAGGTCCATAGCCCCCGTGACTTCTAAGGACCTGATTCGAGCCCCACGCTGCAAAAGTATCAACCGAGTTGACTGCAACCCTGCAACTCAATTGATCATTGTCCCCAAGCTGAGAATTTTCAGCAACCCCTGTCGGTTTAGATGAAGAGATAGGTTCTGAAGCCACCTTCAAGGCCCTGTTACCCACACTGCTGGAGTTCTTCGGCCGTTTTGCGGCGCTTGCTTTCTTCATCCGGAGCATCGGTCGAAGGTCGTTTCAGCATCGTGGTGAGCTGTGCCTTCTGGTCCGGTGTCAAACTGACTCCAAGGGTCGTGATGAAACCTGCTACGGCTTCCGGTACAGTGTCCTCCATGGCATCACCGTCCTGAAGTTCAACGACCGGTTTGGTGGTCTTCACCATTTCCATGTAGGTCGCACTGGTGGAGTTCAGAGCGCCTTGTTCAGCTTCCAACTTGCTTTGAATGCCCTTCATCTCCTCAAGCATGTCTCCATAAGCTTTCTTGGCTGTGTCAAGCCGTTGCTGGAGAACCATCTTGCGATGTGAGAGGTCTCGTAGGGCAGAAACCTGAGCCTTGAGCTTGAGGGCCATGTCCTTCTCAGTCTCAGGAGGAGGTTTTGTGATACGCTCCACAAGTTCCTTAACCGCGGTGGGCAGCTGAGCCATGTTCTCTTTGAGCACGTGGGTCAAGTCATCAGGATCCGTGCTGGGAGGTGTAGGCTTGATGCCTAACTGCTCAAGCTGCTGTTGGAGCTTGGAATCCAAGGTAGTCCAAGAGGATCTGAGCAAGTCCGTCGTGGCCTTGTGAACATGAGAGATCTTGGATGTTCGCCCATTCCCCAAGCCTGGAGGGGGAGCCACGGGCTTCTGGCGAGGTGTGAACCGCCCTCTTGACCTGGACGGTGACCTAGCGTGGAAACCCGCGGCTGGTTTGGCCCAACTCTGGCCACATTTGCGGCAAGTGTAGCCTTCACAAATCTTATCTTCCCACATCCAGTTGCCACAGTTGGGATGCTTGCAAACCTGATACTGGCGGTTCCAGGTGGTGTACTTCATGTGGTAGCTTCGCCGGGGCCACCCTGCTTCTCCTCAAGGACCTGCGTGAGGGAGTCGTGAAGTGCCCAAGACGAAGAGCTTGAGCCACCTGGTCCCTTGAGCCGAGAAGCTTGAGCCTTGAGCCAAAATGGCTACGGACATATTATACAGTGTGTATATATATATATATGTGAAGGGGCCTCCTCCTTCCATGCCTGGGCTGTTTAAGCAAAGACCCGGAACGGCAAGAGTTCAACAAGTCTCCAGCCTTTCAAACGGCGCAAAATCTGAGAGATCAGAGGAAAGCAGCGCTTCCGCTGCAAGGATCTTTGCCTGTGAAATCTAAAGATTCAGTCTCGGTCCATGACACTTTATTTACCATCGCTACTACGTTGGGGGCCATCGCTCTTAGGTTGGAGGCCATCGCTACTAGGTGCCCAGCCTCCTTTTTGTTCTTTGCAGGCTCACTAGAAGCTTGAAGAATCTCGTGCCCGATTCCCAAACACTCCAGGTCAACTGACACCTCAAAAGGCTGATGAAAGACGGCAATGAATATCATGAAAGCTCATGAAACCAAACTACCAAGAGTGCTATTTGTGGTCAAGCAGAACACTCACTTGAGGCCAGTGGCTGTGCAAATGAAATGTTGGCCCACCACATCAAAGCTGTAGGATATCTCAGCAAGTGCTGGCTTGAGTGCCCAAAAATCTGCAGAGCAAGATTGCAGAATCTGACCCCTTTTTCCCCAAATAGCTGCAAGCTATAGGGGTTTTTACTTCTCAATGGTGTGGCTAGATCGGCGTTTTGGCTTTGCCGCCGTGCTGATGCTGGTGCAGCTGCAGGGGTGCAAGTGCTGGCTGTGGATCGGTTTTTTGGTTTTGCAGGTGCTGCTGCCGTGCTGATGCTGATGCAGGTGCTGCAATGACATCATGTACTGTCCGGGATGGCATCATGTCATGTCCGGGATGACATCACGGCATGGCAGGGACGACATCATGTCATGCCAGGGGTGAAATCATGTCATGCCAGGGCTGACATCATAGCGTGGCAGGAACGATAATCTCTCATACTGTTTCCGGCAAGTTGATGCATATACTTTAGATATTGCCTTGTGGTATGCACCGTTTCCTTTCGCGGATGACATGGTGTCATGCCAAGGACGACATCATGTCATGCCAGGGATGACATGCTCTCATATTGCGTGTGACAACGTGTTGTGCGACAATGATCATAATGTCGTCCGGGCATCTTTGGCTAGTCCTTGCCGATCTTGCAGTTTTACGTCTGTGTTGGGCAAAGCGGGCGCATTCAGCTGATAGCTGTTGCGCATATTGGTGGACTGGTCTGATGTTGCGTGCTGCGGTGACAGCCGTCCCTGGATGTCCGTGGCGTGTCCTTTAAACCTATACACCCGCTATCTGGGGTCTATGCCGGTGCAATTAGAATCCTAGAACTGCATTTCGACTCAGGTCCAACATTGCTGAAACTGTCAAATGGGCGTTGCATCACAAAGTGACTCAGCTAAAAAAGTCCAGGTTGCATCATCCTTGGTGAGCTGTCTCCGAACAATGGCCGCAATCTTTTCATTGAGTGCACCTGCTGTCTTCAAGAAATCTCTCAATAATTGAGTTTGGGTGACATACCTTTTCGACCAAACTTATTTGAGGTTCCAGGTGCCTTTGTCTATCACCTGATGACCTGGTGACGGTCGCAAGTATGGGCGGAGCTCAACAAGGGTCCACACCACAGATTCTACAACTTTTGAGGGCACGCGAACCATCTACCTGGCACAATTGGAACTATTAATAATCGCACCACTGGGAAGCCAGGCTAGCCGCAGTTGTGCTGCGACAGCCAGCAATCAGCAAACACCGCTGAATGTGAAGATAGTGCTAGCGAGGTGCGAGAGGACGCTGAACAGAAGGGGCTCAAAGAAAAGAGGTTCTTGTCTGCAGACCAAAGAGGTTATTCGCTTACGGGTCTGTCGACTGCACCTCCTTGGCTTTATGATCGCCACCCGCTGGCCACATCCGAACCCACAACAAGCCTGCCTACCGGGTTCGCCATCGGCTTCTCAGATACCTCATGCTCTCAAGATCTGTGTAGTGAAGTCATGAAGATCTGAGCCGAGCCTTTTCGGCTTTCACAGGCCTGACAAACAAACCGCAATTCTGTGTCGCAGTCCAAGCAGTCCAGGCCTGCATTCTTCTGGCTCAAGAAAGTGGCCAACTCCTCGAAATCCAAGTGACGGCATTTGCAAAGGTTCCCTAGTAGCGTCCCTGTTCCTAGTAGCGATGCCCTTTGCTCCTAGTAGCGTCCTTGCTCCTAGTAGTAAGGCCAGGAGCCCCTAGTAGCGTCTTGTTACTGCTAGCAAGAAATTTGAGGAGTTGTGATTCTCAAGAACCGGCACACTGCATGTTCTGGAAGCATTGAAGTTGTACATACTAATCGACGCTGGATGCACACATGTTCCAGCTGCGGGCATCCTCCAGATCTGAGTTTGTTATGTTTGGGCCGCTCCTGCCAGAAGAAAGAAGTCCCAAAAATGAAGCAAGAGATGAAAAAGTAAGGCAAACCCGTCCTTTTTTCATAACTTGTTGTCTTCTTGTCTTTTCTATATGGCAACAAGAATCTGTTGTTGCAAAGCTAGGCAGGCACCGCGCGTACTGCGCCTGAAAGCCCTGCTTCTGCCCTCCGCCACCCATGCCTGAATCTCTTGAGCAATCGCTGTCTTTGGCTTGGTTTCTTTTGCATACTTGCACTAGGATCAATTTGCTTTCTCCGCCTTTTGTGCTGTTTCTTTGTGGGTGTCTTTGCTCCTGAAGCTGATCGGCGCTTCGAACGATTGCACAGCATCACAGCCGTGCTACAGCCCTGGCTCTACTGAGTCTTTGCTGCGCATTGCCTGCTCTCTCTTCCCATCTTCGCTTGACAACTCAGCCAAGGCTTCCTTTGCAGCTGATTTCTTGGCATTAGCCTCACATATGCCGGCCAGAGATGGCCAGAGTGGTCAGGAAACTGCAAACATGGGGCCTTCGCTTCCATTCTTCCACAGGACCACAGCTACAGAAACCACTTAACAACCACCCACCAAATCAGCTACCACCTGGATTGCAAAACAATTACGCTCAAACTGGTAGGTGAGTGTGTAAAGGTGGGCAAGGTGGCACGATCATTGCAAATGTTGCTCGCTGCAACTGCAACCCAATTGCCTCTGGCCAAATCTGTTGTGGTCACAATTAAAGCTCCAGGTTTTGTGGGGGCAGCGCTCAGGAGGATATCTTGCGAACACCTTTGGAGAGAAGCAAACAGTGCGTCTGGAGTTGCAGGGCACCAGTACAGCTATGGCGTGGTCTAAAAGCTCCGAACTTTAAGGAACTTTTAGGGCCAGCCAGCTCGTGTGAAATGCTGCCGGCCTTCAAATGGACCTAGGAACACATCCAGGCCCTATCATCTCCGCAAAACACTTAGCGTTGACTGGGAACCTATGGCAAGAACCCCGTGGTGGTGGCGCAAGTCCAAGACTTAAAGCTCTGCTCCTACCCAAACGCTTGCATATCAGAGGCTGGCCTTCTTGAAGGCAGGATAACCTGTGACAGCCAAGGTTGGCTGAATCTCCAAGGTTGGAAAAGCCACTGTAGCGACAAAGCTTCCGCATTCCAAACAGTCGAATGAGTAGTCGACGTCACCCTGGCAGAGCTGGGATTTTGGGGAATGTGTGACAAAAATGCTCAAGTCTGACAACGTCTAAAATAGACTGCCAAAAAGGGAACAAAGAACATATTGTGTATATATATATATACAGCTCAACAATACTTGATTGCGAATTGAGAGCCAAATTCTTCCCAGAAATTTCCCAGTGGAGTGGTGGCGTTCTTGGAAGTTTTGATCTATCCTTCTGGACAGAGTTTCACCTTCTTGTTACCCGGTACTTTGGTTTCAGTGCCAGCCAAAGTACACATGGCACTATGGAACACAGGATTCGATCCGTTTGCAAACTGCCACAATCTTCCAATAACTCTGCCGAGCAGATGCTCCTTTGTGTCAAAAGGTTCAATTAGCATTCTTCACATGCAAATTCTCAGGACGTCCTTGTCCCTTACCCAAATTCAAATAGACGTCAACTGTCATACGAGTAGCTGCTCATTTACTAGCAGTATCCACACAGCTGTATCCTCCAGGTGCTCTGCATCGCACCAAGCTGCTCAAAATCAGCTTTGCTGCTAGACGATGCATGGGCAAAAGAGCGCAATTCTGGAACACCCTACATTTTCATGGGTCTTCTAGTTTTTGGGAGTTAGAAAAATGTTGTGCCATCTGGTGTTGTGATAGGTCATGTGTGTTGATAAGATGGCATTGGATGTGCAAGGAATTTAAAAAAGCTGTGCATCGAATCACTTTTGAATATATATATATATAGAAAAATATATATATTAATATATAGGGTCACTACATATATATATATATATATGTACAAAGAAAGAAGTCAGGCCGATAAGAAGCCTTTTCCAAGGCTGTTTGCTCGAGTCAAGTTGTCCTCTGCGTTTGGCATTTGGCGCCTTCACCACCGGGCGACCCAAATGCTTGGCAACAATATTCTGCCTAAGGTCTGTACTTGGCGATATGCTCCTAGTAGCGATGCCAGGAGCTCCTAGTAGCTTCTGGTTGCTAGTAAGTAGTGAGGCCGGGAGCTACTAGTAGCGTTCTTGCTTCTAGTAGCGATGCCCTTGGTCACTAGTAGCTTCTTGCTCCTAGTAGTAAGGCCAGGAGCGCCTAGTAGCGTCCTTGCTCCTAGATATGTTGACCAACATGTTGCAACTTCAAAAAAAGATATGCGAAATGAACACCAAGTGCTGAAAGGGTGCAACGAACCAATGGGATTGTCATCGATGTCCGCATGGATAGCCTCGTCGATTTCCACTGATCTGACCTTGTCCTCAGCGCTTATGGTATCTCCCTCCACTTCTGTTTCTCTGTATGCATCATCTTCTCTGTACTCATCCTCCTCTGGCAGGAACTTCTCAACGTTCTGCAGGGACAGGGGTGTAGATATTATATATATGTCTTTTTTGCATGAACCCCGTGAAAACACATATTGACATACTGTATGGAATTTTGTTGTGCGCAATCGAACAGTTGCCTGATGAAAAGACTGGCCTGGCATTTGTTCCTGGAAGGAGCAGTCCTTTGGGAAAAGAAGCTCATGCGCTAGGCATTCAAGCGCAAGATTCCATGGCAAATGACCACTTGGACACACTCGTCCAAGACATGGAGTCGTCCAACTCTCAGTGGCCACATCCGATGACATGTTGCAAGATGTCTTAAGATGCCAAGAGGATACCCCTTCAAAAGCACACCCAAGAAGAGCTACTCAACGACAAAGCTGCCAACTCAATCAAAATGTCATGAATCAGATTGAATCGGGAATGTTCTCCCAAGTTGACTTGAAAATAGCGAGCCATTGCAGTTTTCAAGTTGCAATCATTCAACATGCACTTTGATTCATTCAAGACATAGGACACCGGAATAAGACTTTGCACTCCGTCGGCGCTGCGTCGGAGGCGGAATGTGGTCGCAGTGAGACTTATCCGCGACACTTGGTCCGTCGAAAGTCGACATGGGACACCTGCTGTCGGGAGATGTTTCCATGTCGGTTGGGCAAGACGGCCTGAACAAAATCAGGGCACTTCTGGTATAGCTTTGTGTGGCTGCAGTCTAGGAACACAGACATTTCCTTGCCCCGGACCCATGAAATTCCTGGCGACCCCTCCAACCTTGATATCAAGGATGAATGGGTCAAAAAAAAGCCGTGGAATTCAAACTTAAACACAAAGCTTGAAGCAAAGCTGTTGCTTCAAGAAGCAAAAGCGCAAAGTAAAGACGGTTTTACACAGTGCTCCATCTGTTACCTCGACACAAACCCGCTGTGACTCAGCAATGCAAGAAGAGTAGTAGGTGAGGAGGTGTGCTTGAGAATGACTTCCGCACTGTTCAACAAAAACAAGCGAACAAGTGTGAGCTTTGCAAGTTTTTGCCGACCTGCATCAATGCGAGCCGCATACTCACTTGTGGAGGTGAAACACATTTGATTCAGAGGCACCCATTGGTAACCTATTCTTGCATCCTACGAATTGAAGCGCATAGGCGCTCAGTCTGGTGCACCAAGACTCTAACAACTGAAGAAAAAAAAGCGATCTTTCCGAACGAAACCAAAAAACAAAAAAAAACTCCCCAAGAAACAACGAGCTCTTTTCGTAATAAATATATATATATACAAAAACGACAGAGATTTTACAAACCCTTGGTGCTTCTTTTGATGCTTGCCTTGGGTCTGGGACTTCAAGCGGATGTCAAGCAGAACAGTCTGATAGCAAACACTTTTGTTTCTTAATCCCATCACCTTTCTTCCCGTGCGATCCTTTGGTGGAGGCCATCGCTACTGGTAACAAATACGCTACTAGGTGGAGGCCATCGCTACTAGTAGCTATTTGCTAGTAGCAAGGATGTTGGAAACCAAAAGGATGTGTGTCCAAAAGGATTCAAATGGTCCTTGCAAGAAGTCCTTGCAGCGTTGCTTTGGCTGCACAAAGGTGCCAGATCCACCGAGCTCATGTGGCAAGCGGTCTTACCAGGTCCTGCAAGCTGCATTGGGCGGGGGATAGCCGTAACAAGTAGTAGCAAAGGACGCTACTAGGGGCTCCTGGCCTTACTACTAGTAGCAAGAAGCTACTAGTAACTAGATGTTGTTTCAGCCGAGATGCATTTGGGTTGTAGTACACATCGACCGATTCGATCTTCAGGTCTTCCGTGACCTGACACCAAAACCAGCCGCCGTCTCAGCTTTGAGATGTTCACATCGTCTTTTTTCCCGCTTGGCCCGGGCCCTGCCTCACTTAAGCCACTAGTAGCAAGGACGCTATTAGGTTGGAGGCCATTGCTACTAGCAAGGATTAAGTAGGGAACAAACTTGTTCGCTCCTAGCTACTTAAGCTAGTAACTGGACGCAGCATAGCTCACGCACTAATGATTTGGTTCCTAGATTTTTAGGAAAACTTATATAACTACGCGGCCGTTGTTTCCCTTCAGTGCCTTGGCAATGCAAAGGCCAATTATGTTGAGCATCTCGCCATTGCCTTTGTGCTCCTGGAACGAAAGCAGTTGAGCTTTGCTGTCTATTTGGATGAAGCCTTAAATGGAGAATCCAAGAGACTTGTCTTCCAGCTAAAGCTATCGAATATTACCTACTACTAAAGACTAAAGTCTGCCAGCTGTCCTTCCCCTGCTTATCCTTGAAAGTGCCACACATTTTCCCAAAGTGCCTCCACTTGAACGTGACCTGAGAAGGAAAAACACGTTGAGAATGTTGACGAGAAAAAACGAAGGATGGGTTCATGGCTACTAGTAACAAGTGCATCGCTACTAGTAACAAGTGCCTTGCTAGTAGTAACAAGAAGCTACTAGTAACAAGTGCATCGCTTCTAGTAACAAGTGCCTTACTAGTAGTAACAAGTGCATCGCTACTAATAACAAGGATGGGTGCAATTCCAAGCAACGTTGGGCGGCCCTGAAAAGACTTCCAGAACTTCCCAAGCAAATCCTGGAGATGTCAAAACGGAACCATCTTCTTTTTTAAGACCGGGTAGGCCGCTAAGGAAGTAGCTAGGTAGGTAGGTGGCTGGTAGAAACTAGAGAGTCGCTAGGGAGTCGCTAGTAGCTTCAGTAGCTACTAGCTAGGACGCGGGATAGCTCACGCTTCTTCAAGGAAGCTCCCCCCGCAGCCCTGAAGGCAGGGGGGGAGCTTCCTTGAAGAAGCGCTCGCACTATTCATTTGGTTCCTAGATGTTTAGAGTTTAGGGAAACTTGAGCTAGTAGGAAGTGACAATGTTATGTTGGCCTTCAGGAAAAGCTGCAGCAAAGTTCTGTTGTGCTGCTTCAGCATTGCTTGCCTTGAAGCAAGATTCATCTGAAACGACCTATGTGTGGCTGCAATTTTCGTAGTACGACGTGCTAAAGGCACCTTTGATGAATACTCAGTTGTCTCCCCGATCCTGAGCAATCGCTGTTGTCAAAGCATTTGCACAAAAAGGATGTGCCTTGACCTCCAATATCAAAAACGGCGCTGGCTACTGAGCTTGCGTCAGCACATTTGCGTGGCTCATGTCTGACAGGAGCTGCGCATTGAAGGGGCAGCCACCATTGATTGCTGCCTTCAAACTGTACGTTGCCTTCGCAACTTCTACGAATAAAAATAGCTTCCCCAACTCACAGTGAATCAATGAACCAAAACCTGGCACTTGCTAAGTCCTAACATCTTGAACAGAAACAACAACCGAAAGCATGGTGGCACGAGGTGGCACGAGGTGGCACGAGGTGGCACGAGGTGGCACGAGGTGGCACGAGGTGGCAAGAAACCATGGTGCTACTGGTGCCTTGAACTTGCTAACGTCCATGGTATGCCAGTGATGTGTGCTGGCAATATGTCGACTCTCCACCTCGACCGCGTCAAAACGTTAAAGCGGTGGTTCAGAGTGTGCCCGGTAAAGCTGCAAGTTGAAAGCAAGCTGAAAGTAAGCTGAGGGAAGAGCATCCCAATTCTTCATCAACCTGAAATCTTCATCAAAACAATGCACAAGACTACAAAAGTAATTGCAAAGTGATTCTGCCCAATGCCTTTTCTTCACCCAAGCTCTTACTCAGCCGAGACTCTTTTGAATCAAAGCCTCGAGGGATCCTTCGGCGTGGTTCATGACACGCTGCTCGAAGTACAACTTGTTCACGGTTGCCTACACAAACAAGAACGACCCAGTCTGCCCACTCGCAATTAGGAGCAAAGAAGCTACTAGGGGATCCTGGCCTTACTACTAGGAGCAAGGACGCTATTAAAGCTACTAGGTGTTGCTTTTCCAAGGCACATAATCCGGTCGACCAAACCGCCACTTCCTCGGGACAAAAAGAAAACACATAGAGACCAAACCACATAATGGCCACCAAAAGCTACCAAGACCAGCTTATTCTGCCATGATTCGCACCATGAGCTGGCTCATAGTCTCGAATCACTTCCCCTGCAAGCAGGAAACTGACCCAATACTGAGTACGCTTTTTGGTATTGATCTCAGTGATCTCCGGTTTTTCTACTCCTTTTTGGTCCATTTAATCCATTTGGAGCAAAACTCAATCGGCAGCGATCCACGGCACCCTGAGTGACTCCCTTCGACTCATCGGACAGACCATCTTTAGCATCGGTCCTTAGAGTCGCGGCTAAGTGCGAAGCAACATGTAGCTTCTTGTTCCTAGTAGCTACTTGCTCCTAGTAGTACGGCCAGGAACCCCTAGTAGCGTCCTTGTTCCTAGTAGTAAGAGAAAAAATGCAAAAGCCGCATGATGCCGAAAATAATGTTAAAAAAGAAAAAAGTTGATGACGTAGCACCAAGCATCGCCATGTTCCCAAGGTTTGCAGGTCCTGAGCAAGGCACAGCAAAGCACAACCTTCAAGGTGTGGACAGCATTCTAGGGCTGCCAAGTATCTTGCACCCGGCAAACATCCGCAGGCATTGGCATTTGAGCCCAAACATTCCGTCATGTGTCAAAATCTGAAAATGCCTCAAACTGCTAAGAAGTATCTGTCACACCTTACATCCTTTGAATGTTGGATGCAGCTGTCCACACCACAACTCTGAGCAAAACTCAGTGGTTGACAGGGCCGGCGGTCGATCCATGTCGGCCTTGGGCAGGACCTGAGAGCAACGGGTACAAAGAATTTGTAGGTGAATCAGCGCTATTATAACTAACAAAGAAAAGGAAGAATTGTAAAAAATATAGTTTGCTATTAGGCCCCCACATAATGCGCCACCAGCTCACTGCCTGGCACACTTCAAGCCTTCAAGCTCACGATTTGGTGACCAAAACCAAGGCAGCATGGCCAGCAAAAAAGGGAGCACACACACCACCTTGGACAACTTGTGACCATTTCAATGTTCATCTCCAACTCAAAGAGAATCACAAAAAAAACTCTTCGCTGAGGAGGCAGCTAGAACGCCGAAGCTGCGCTGATGGTGCTCCATGAATGAGTCTTTTTCCTGCGGTTGATTGAATTGGAACTCTCGAGAAATAACGCGACACTGTCGAAAGAATCCTCTGAGTAGCCGACATGACTGACTGCACATGGTTAACGGACCAGTCAATCGCACTTCCACGCTCATCGAGCT